ATAATCATTCAAATAAGTATTGACCAAGCTTCAATAAATCAATGCCTGTTACAATCCAACTCTCGAATGAGACTTAACTAAGCTTTAACAATCCAGCTTTAATAAATCAATTCTGAACGAACACTTGGTCATCGAAACTTGGCATACCAGTTCTCAGGCGAGACTTGGCCGATACTCGGCTCAGGCTTGGTTAACGAGACTTGGCATACCAGTTCTCAGACGAGACTTGGCCGATACTCGGCTCAAGCTTGGTCACCGAGACTTGGTACACCAACTCTAGGATGACGATTGGCCGATACTTCAACTTCGGCAATTCTTACCCGGGATTAATGACATTTATCAGATTTTGTTTTATTCCAAAATAAACAAATTCCCCGACTGATCCATTGGCATCCTGCATTTCTTCGATTTTGTATTTAGCTGATGTCGTTTTAATCAATGTTTTCGTACATTTCGGTAAATTTGGCATCAATCTTGGCCTTAAAATATCGAGTAATATATCTGCGTGCGCGCGTGGAACTTGACAATTAACAATCCAATCACGTAACATTACCATCTCATCTTCGGGTTCATTCTCATTGCCTCCAATTTCCTCGTCTTCTGTTTCATTTTCATTAATTTCATCGTCATCTGAAGCATTTTCTTCGGCTTCAACAGCTTCATCGTCATTTGTATTTTCAACGGTTTCAACTTCTTCGTCAATTGTATTTCCATCGGTTTCGACTTCATTTTCTCTTTCATTTTCATAACCGCTAATTTCATCATTTTCTACCATGTGTAAATCACCCTCGGATTTAGAATTTTTATGTGCTTCGGCTTCTTCGTATGTATAATTATCAATGGTTATATTATTATTGCCTTGCACATCTTTGTTAACCTCACTATCGGTTTTCATTATTAAACACATTCTTTTTTCTAATTTTTTTCTCGCGTAATATTTTCGTTTCCTCAACAATCGTGAGGACGTCCATGTATCTTCGACGTCACTCATTATCTTAACTGTGTCAAACCTACAAACCTAACTGTGTCAAAACTACAATTGTGACCGCACTAATTAAGAAGACAATTTACTTTTGGACCTAACCTATTAAGATATTTAAAGCTAGATTATCCAATCTAGATCCCATAGTTTCATATCTAATTTTGGAAAAATCTGTCAGTGGTAATCTAGGACCAATGTAGATTTTTCCGACTATTTTTCTCTCGGTAAAATCAAGGTAAATTTCTAGGGTGTATTCTGGACCTATACGGATATTTTTAACTGGATTTTTCTATCCAGGCCCTGTACTTAATCTCGGCAAATTGAGGCAGATTTCTACCTGGGTATTTTTTAATGATAAATTATACTAATGATTTTATAATTAAATTTTTATTATTAAATACATTAATATAATCTAATTATATTAATGTATATAACAAAAATTAATATGAAAATCATAAATATTACCCCCCTTTTATAAGAAATTATTTTGTTGCCTACAACATTTTTAAATTTATTCCCATCTATAATTAATCAGGAATTTTTTTATTTTTAATAAAAATTTTTAATTGCTACATTAATCTATTCATTGTAAATGAATTATTTTCTATGAACTAAAAATTTCCCCCCCCCCCCCCTCTAAATAAGTAAGCTAATCTTAAAGCTTTTAGACTCATACTCTAAATATAGAAATTTACTCTCTTATTTAAATGAAATGCCTAAACAAAGGGTTATTTTGATAGAATAACTTACGTGAGAAACACCAACAACCTCACTTTCATTATTTGAATGATCTATGTATATTCAACAGAATTAAACTATCCCCTAAAATTTCAAAAATTTTTATGCTTCTTACACTTAAATATAATAAAAACTCTTAAATATTAATTTTTAAAATTAAATAAATAAATATTTATTATATTTAATCTATTTTTAAAATATTTTATTATTCTAACTCTACTCATATTTTCTATTGCCCCCCTTTTATTCACTGACCTAATTCTTATATGATTCTTTATAGAAATCTCCAACTATACAGGGTGAGTCTTTCCATATCCGACAAAATTTTTGAGAAGGTAGAACGGATCGAGATGAACGGAAAAGTCCTGTACCATTTTGCAATTTTCGTAATAGTTAACGAGTAATTGATTATTCAAAATCGTTGTCTTAGGCCGACCTACCGCCCAATTCGAGCGCGTGGCGAGATGTGCGCATAGCAATATCGATCGCCGGGCGGTCACATCTTGCCACGCGCTCAAATTGGGCGGTAGGCCGGTCTAAGACAACGATTTTTAATAATTAATTACTCGTTAACTATTACAAAAATTGCAAAATGGTACAGGACTTTTCCGTACATCTCGATCCGTTCTACCTTCTCAAAAATTTTGTCGGATATGGAAAGACTCACCCTGTATATGTATATGTATATATGCCTCCTGAATATCTGAATAAAAAATAAAAAAATAATTTTTTTTATTTTATCCTTCAAATACTAGCATCTTTCATAATTATTTACAACATAATTATATACAACATATTATAAATAATTTTTTTTTAACTAATAGTCTATTCTCCAGATTACTCCTTTTTATAGCCTTAATAATAAAATTAAGTGTCCCTCCCTTCCACCTTTGACTCCCTTTGCTTTCTAAATATCTAACTTGAACATTAATTTTTATCTTAATTACTATATTAAAAATTACTCCCCTTTATATAATTTCCTTAATAAACATACCCCCCCACACTTCTTTATATAATTTTACTTTTTTGTGCAATTATCCCCCCATTTCTCATATTAAATATTAATAATTTAAAAATTTTATTAACCTACTCATCTGTTAATCAAATAGGATAAATAATAATATTAATTTGATTAAAAAATTTATTATGATTAACTTATTTTTTTTATTATTCTATGATTCTTTTAAGCCTAACATACAGAATCCATAACTTTAAAATCTATATAAATTTTAATAATTTTGTGTTGTTATCGGGTACAAGAATACAGGTTATGTCCTCTGAGTAACGCTCTGCTTTATTTCGCTCTCTACAAGGCACTGACTCCCCTCCGCCGTGTTCCTCCAACTATCTTCCCTCTGCCTCTCTACTAGCGCCTCCTACGTCGTTTCCGCTGTCTTTCCCCTAGGCTAGTTCCCGCAACATCTCTTTTTCTAAAAAAAACTAAAGCTACATGGTCCCTAATTATATATCTATCTCGTGTAGTCTCTGAACCAGCTGGGAGGCTTTTTTTCCCGTTGGGATTTCCGCGCCGGTACTGTCTCATTTTGGGCATTCGAATCTGATTCACCTGTTTCATATTCTGACTCTGAGTCCGACCCTGGCGGCGCACTGTCCCTGCTTGTTTCGTCTACCTCTTCGCCCTCACGCACTGAGACATCGTCCTGTAACGGGTCTCCCTCGTTCGTCTCTACCTCGATTACATAATCTGGTTTTGTTTTAGCTTTTACATTCTCATTCTCGCGCTTAACTGGAGCGGGTATCAAGTGTACTCTGTTTCGTCGCAGTTCTCCTTTTTCGGTTTTGATTATATACGAATTTGGCGTCTCGCTCGCTCGTACTACATTACCGTACGCGCGCACGTCCGAAATCCACACTCTCTCTTTTTTTCGCAATACACCTAAATTTTTCGTTCTATGTCTGCGGTTGTATTGAATTTCTTGCTTCTTCTTCAACGCGGTTTCTTTTAATTTCACTTCTGAATGGGAACGGAACTTGTTTAAAAGACTGGGGAGCACCGGAAGTGTAGAGCGTACTTTTCTCGAGAACATTAGTTCAGCTGGAGAAAGTCCATTTTCTAGCGGGGTTGTGCGATATGCGAACAAACCTCTTTGTAGGTCTTCCGATTTTTTTATTAATCTCTTTGCGATTTTTACTGCGGCTTCTACACACCCGTTGCTCTGCGGATATTTTGGTGAGCTCGTAACCAGTTTGAATCCGTACTCTCTCGCAAATCTTAGAAATTCGGTGGAGAACTGTGTGCCATTGTCGCTGCGTACGATCTCGGGTATTCCGAACCTCGCAAACATTACCTTACAGTGTTGGATTACTTCCCGTTCTGTCATGGACCGCAGGGGGGCGATTTCTATGAACCTCGAATAATAATCTGTTGTGACCATAAACCATTCTTTTTCTTTGCAAAAATCTAACGCTATTTTCTGCCACGGCCTATCGGGGAATTGCTCGCTTACAAACTTTTCCTTATGATTGGTTCTCTCTTTTATGCACGCCGGGCAATTCGTAACTACATCTATGATTTGCTTCGACAGACCCAACCACCACACAGACTGTCTAGCCCTTTCTCTGCATTTATTTATCCCTAGGTGACCTTCATGTATATAAGACATAATTTCCGATTGCAAGGGTGGAGGGATAACCAGTCTTGTGTTGTTGAGTAGAAAACCCTCTCCGAATGAGAAATTTTCCGCCATATGGTGATACGGTCGCAACTCTTCCGGTACTTTGTCTTTTGCAGGCCAGCCGTTTGAACTATACTCTACCAGTTTTCTACACACTAAATCCGATGCTTGTTCTAATCGCAACCTACTCATTACGTCGTCCGTCGCTGGCATGTGTTTTACAATCATTCGGACGTAGCGGGAGTTCTCTATGTCTATATCGCCGCCTTCCTTCTGCGAACTCGGCCTGGGGTTCCGTGACAGTGCATCGGCCAGCACTAATTGCTTCCCCGGGATCCACCTAACAACATAATTGTATCTCATCAGTCTTATTCGAATTCTCTGTAAGCGCGGAGTCATTTCGTCTAGAGGTTTTGACTGCAGAATTTGTATTAGAGGTTTGTGATCTGTTTCGAAGCATACCCTTACGCCCGTGATGTACTCCTTGAATTTATCGGCCGCGATAGCTAACCCTAGAGCTTCTTTTTCTATCTGGCTATACCTTTTTTCCGGATCGCTTAACGTTCTAGACGAGTACGCTACAATTTCGCGCTGTCCGTTTTGTTCTTGGATGAGCACTCCACCGATACCGTAGCTTGAAGCGTCCGCCTGAACTATTATGTTCTTTGTGTGATCGAAATGAGCGAGCGTTGGTGCTCTTGACAACAGCGTTTTGATTTCTTTAAAGGCTTTCTTTTGCGCGTCTCCCCACACGAACAGACTGTTATCTCTTAATAATGTTGTCAATGGTTCTAACAGTTTTGACCGATTTGGAATAAATTTCCCGACGAAATTTACTGATCCCAGAAATTGCTGAAGCGATTTTATGTCCGTTGGTGTCGGAAAATCAGAGATAGCCGATACCCTGTCCGGCAGCACTTCAATCCCCTCTTGAGATATGATGTGACCCAAAAATTCTATTCTATCGACCCCAAATGTGCACTTCTCGGAATTTAATGTTATGCCTTCGTGTACCAATCTTTTTAGAACTTCGTGCAATGTTCTTTCGTGTTCTTCGTCATCCTCTGCCAAAATAAGCACGTCGTCTACATGGGTTACGACGTTCTCTAAGTCATAGAATAAATCGGCGAATCTCTTCGCGAAGTAATCCGACGCGCAGTTGATCCCGAACGGTAATCTATTAAACATGTATCTACCGAAGGGGGTTATAAATGTTGTAAGTGGTTTGCTACTTTCTGACAATCTTACTTGATAGTACCCCGATTTCGCATCTAACCGCGAGAAAATCTTTGCCTTCCCCAATCGGGCCAAGGTCACGTCCACTTTTGGTATAGGGTATACTGGTCTCGCAATGTTTTTGTTCAGCTGAGTGTAGTCGCACACAACCTTATCCCCGATTCATTGTTTGCTTTGGGTACGCGTACAACGGGGCTGCACCAGTCTGTTGGAAAGTCTACTGCTGTGATAATGTTCTGTTCCGTTAGTTTATTCAATTCTGCTTTTAGTTTCTTTAACAGCGGGATGGAGACCACTCTTGGCACCGATTGTGCGAAAGGCACCGTATTTTCTTTCGTTTGTAAGTCTAATTCCTGACGGAAGTGTCCTAACCCTTTAAATACCGTCGGATATTTATTGCGAATTTTTTGTTTCAACGTTCCCTGCTTGCTCATCCCTTTTTTCATTTCGATTTTCTCGATGCTATTTATCCTTTTTATTAATCCGAAAGATTTTATCATGTCTTTCCCCAGCAAGCACGCGTTTAGCTCTCTGATTATATAGGCTGTACATTTTTTTTGTATCCCCTTGATCGCAAATTTTACATTGATCAGACCAACTAATTCTAGTTTATTTCCTTTCGGATCGCGCACGATGCCTTTTGTGTGATAAATTTTTTTTCTGAGATTATTTGGAACCGTATGTAATGGCAAGCAGATTACGTCCGCCCCTGTATCGATTTTGAATTCTAACGTTTTTTTAAATTCTACGATTTTGACAGATATTTCGAATTCTTTTAAATCTACTACATTGTTCTCCATTCTACCTAAGAAATATTCGTTCACTTCGCTCGACGTTGAAGATTCTTCGTCATCCTCCTTCTGTACGCGCCGCACAGTCTTTGACCAACACAGTTTCTCCCAATGGCCGATTCTTTTGCACCGATGACACTTGGAATTCTCCGCTGGGCATTTCTGTTCTCCAGTATGGCGGCGTAAGCCGCACCTGCCACACTTGTCTTCGTTCTTCGCCCGTTGTCTATGTGATGGCTGCTTCCCCTTTCTCTCTCCCGGTCGGCTCGGCTTGGTGTCCACTTGGCATATGTCAATTGTTTCTGGTTCCGTGTTCCGGATCATCCTACCTTGCTTCTCCTGTAGCTCGGCTTGTCTTGCCATGGTAATGGCGGTGTCCAGTGTTAAATCGGACTTGAGTTGCAGACGTTCCGAGGTTTTCTCGTCTCGTATTCCGATGACTATTCTGTCTCGGATTAGTTGATCACGAATAGTGAGCCGTACTCGCAGTGTTCTGCGAGTGAGTACAGAGCTGTTATGAATGAGTCCACTTTTTCATCGGGCTGTTGTATTCGAGAATTGAATTTGTACCTCTCGAATATTACGTTCTTTTTTGGTGTGAAGTAACTCTCGAAGGCGGTTTTTACTTCTGCGAAGGTCTTTGTGTCTGCATCTGGCAATATTTGTAGCAGAATTTCTTCTGCTTTTTCTCCCAAGGTGTAGCATAACAGATCGTTTTTCTCCTTGTCTGATTTGTTGGAGAGGCTCGCAACTGAGATCCCAAGTAGAACATATTGGTCATGAAAACATCAAGATGACATCATTTTTCGATCATTTTTTATGCATCATGGTGACGTCAAAATGGCCCACCGAGAGCACCTATTTGTGACATCATTAAGACATCGAAATGTTGTAAAGTTAATCTCGTTTTACCAAGCAAAGTTAATTAAGTATTATACATCAAAAATAAATCGAAGTAATATAAGACAAACATAATATATGACTGATCATGTAATCTGTAATAATATATTATTATACACGTCACGAATATCATGGTCATTAGTCAGTCATTGCGAAGTAAATCTTGATGTTGATCATTTTATGACGTAAAATTCGTCATTTTAATGTCACATTGACGTTTTTGTGATTAACTTGTTCTACTTGGGATGTATCTATCGAATCTTTTGATCCATACTGACCATGTTTCGGGCCTTGTGAAATCGAACTGGTCGGGTAATTTCAGACTGGGTCCCGCCACATTCACTACAGCTGGAGGGTCTGCCATTTCGGTATGTTTTTACACCTGGCACCATGTGTTGTTATCGGGTACAAGAATACAGGTTATGTCCTCTGAGTAACGCTCTGCTTTATTTCGCTCTCTACAAGGCACTGACTCCCCTCCGCCGTGTTCCTCCAACTATCTTCCCTCTGCCTCTCTACTAGCGCCTCCTACGTCGTTTCCGCTGCCTTTCCCCTAGGCTAGTTCCCGCAACAAATTTTAATAATATAAACTTTAAGATAATTATACTAATCCTTATATTTAACCTAGCAAGCATGCCCCCTTTTTCTTTTTTTTTATTAAAATGATACAGAGTCTTTTATCTTCTCTATAATTGAAATTTCTTTATAGTTTTAATTTTATTAATATTTAGCTCATTAATTATACTTTATATCTATACAAAAATAATAATCAATTCCCTATTTTTATTTATATTAACCACTAAAATTAAGACTCTTAACCATTACCACCTTATAAATACTCCCCTTTCAATCTACTTATATTTAAGAATCTTCATCTCATCCCTGTTATTCCTAATCTAATATTTTAAGTTAAAAAAATTTAAACCTTCAAAGTTTACTATATAAATTTATTTTATAAATCTTAAAAATCTTATAAATTTAAATAATATAATATATTAATATATGTATTTCTATTATATCTTTAAACTTGCAATTTAAAATTTTACTTAAACTATAATATAATATAATACCCCTAACTTTAAATTATCCTATTTCTCTCCCTCTAATGTTAGAAAATTAATTTTCTTTAATAAATTTACAATTTACTTCTTTAATCAGACATAACATTTTTTCTCAACGGCTCCTCCCTTTCCGTTAACCTCTCTATAGAACTACTCTCTTATCTTCAATACTTTATAAAATATGAATAAATGATTATACTCAACTAATCATAAAGATATTGGAATCCTATATTTTATTTTTGCAATTTGAGCAGGAATAATCGGATCTTCAATAAGAATAATTATCCGGCTAGAGCTAGGAACTTGTAATAGCCTAATTAACAATGATTAAATCTACAATTCCTTAGTAACAAGACATGCCTTTATTATAATTTTTTTCATAGTTATACCTTTTATAATTGGAGGATTTGGAAATTTTTTAGTGCCATTAATACCCAAATAGCACAAAAACATTCCATTAACATTCTAGGAATATACGCCAAGAACATTCGAAGATTCCAGGAATCTTCTAATAGTCGTCTTATACGTTCGAGGCATATTTATAGAATGTACCAACGGAGCACTTTAAAAGTTCTAGAAACATCTCTAGAATGTTCATCTGAATGTGCTACGAATGTACACGAATGTACTGCAAATATTCTAGTAATGTGCTGTAGATATTTCTATGAATGTTCCTGGAATATACAGCAAATATTCCAGTAATGTGCTGTAGATATTTCACCCAAAGAAAAGTATTCTACTTTTTAGTGGTTCCCTCTTGATTTTAGCCGGCACAAATTGGCAACCGGCACTACGCGACACGCGCGCGGGCGCGTGAGCGCCAGCTTCTGAGTATTCACCGACCGCCGCTAGGCCGCGAATGGTGACGGCCAAAAACTCGGAAACAAAATTCAGTCTCGCGGGCCTCCTTTTATACCCTACC